CCGGGAGAGCCCCGGGAGACCACCCTGACCCCCCGGGATCCACCGGGAGACCACCCTGACCCCCCGGGAGAGCCCCGGGAGAGCCCCGGGAGACCACCCTGACCCCCCGGGATCCACCGGGAGACCACCCTGACCCCCGGGAGAGCCCCGGGAGACCACCCTGACCCCCCGGGATCCACCGGGAGACCACCCTGACCCACCGGGATCCCCGGGAGACCCCCGGGAGACCACCCTGACCCACCGGGATCCACCGGGAGACCGCCCTGACACCCCGGGAGTGCCCCGGGAGAGTCCCGGGAGACCACCCTGACCCACCGGGATCCACCGGGAGACCCCCGGGAAAGCACCCTGACCCCGCCGGGATCCACCGGGAGACCACCCTGACCCACCAGGATCCACCGGGAGACCACCCTGACCCATCGGGATCCACCGGGAGACCCCTGTGCCATCCCTGGTGCCACCAGATCCCTGTCCCCTCCCCGTCCCCTCCCGTCCCCGGTGTCCCCTCCCGTCCCGGTGTCCCCTCCCCGTCCCGGTGTCCCGTCCCGTCCCCGGTGTCCCGTCCCCGCCCGGTGTCACGCCCGGTGTCGCACTCACACTCCACGGTGACCAGGACGCTCCTCACGGCCACCCCGTGCCGGTTGGTGGCCCTGCACACGTAGCGGCCACCGTCGGCCCGGGTGACCACGCGGCCGCGGGTGCCACCGTCGTGGGTGCCACCGTCGTGGGTGCCACCGTCGTGGGTGCCACCGTCGTGGGTGACCTCACCATGGTGGGTGTCACTGTCACTGGTGCCAACTTCATGGGTGCCACCATAGTGGTTGTCACCATCGTGGGTGCCACCATGGAGGGTGTCACCATCGTGGGTGCCACCATCAAGGGTGTCACCGTGGAGGGTGACCTCGCCGTTGTGGGTGCCACCATCGCGGGTGCCACCCTTTTGGGTGCCACCATCATGGGTGTCACCGTGCTGGGTGTCACCATCGTGGGTGTCACCGTGGTGGGTGCCACCATTGTGGGTGCCACTCCCACGGGTGCCACTCTCACGGATGCCACCGTTGTGGGTGCCACCATGCTGGGTGGCACCGTGCTGGGTGCCATTATTGCGGGCTCCACCATCACGGGTGTCACCGTGCTGGGTGCCACCATGCTGGGTGCCACTCCCACGGGTGCCACCGTGCTGGGTGTCACCGTGCTGGGTGCCACTCCCACGGGTGTCCCCGTGCTGGGTGCCACTCCCACGGGTGCCACTCCCACGGGTGTCACCGTGCTGGGTGTCACCGTGCTGGGTGCCACTCCCACGGGTGTCACCGTGCTGGGTGTCACCGTGCTGGGTGCCACTCCCACGGGTGCCACTCCCACGGGTGCCACCGTCACGGGTGTCACCGTGCTGGGTGTCCCCGTGCTGGGTGCCACTCCCACGGGTGCCACTCCCACGGGTGCCACTCCCACGGGTGTCACCGTGCTGGGTGTCACCATGCTGGGTGCCACTCCCACGGGTGTCCCCGTGCTGGGTGCCATCGTGCTGGGTGCCACTCCCACGGGTGCCACTCCCACGGGTGCCACTCCCACGGGTGCCGCCGCGGCGGGCGCAGCTCGTGCTGGGCGCGGGGTCCCCGTCGGCGCGGCACTCCAGCTCCCGCCGCTGCCCCTCCACCCAGACGCGGCGCGCCGGGCACCCCGCCTCGGACAGCGTGGGCTCGTCTTTGGGGGGACACGGAGGCCACGCGGTCACCTCGCTGGCCACCTCGGGGACCCGCTACCGGCCCCGGTGCCGCCCCGGTGCCGCCCCGGTGCCGCCCCGGTGCCGCCCCGGTGCCGCCCCGGTGCCACTCACACTCCACGCGCACGGTGACGCGGCGGCTGCGCGTGCCCAGCGCGTTGGTGGCGTTGCACACGTAGGTGCCCGCTCGGGACCGGGTCACCGGCTCGGGCTCGGTGGTGGCCACCGGGACCCCGCGGCGGCCGCAGGTCACGGTGGGCGCGGGGTTGCCGGTGGCGCGGCAGGACAGCGCCGCCAGCGTGCCCCGCAGCCACGTGCGGCGGGCGGGGCAGCCGCTGGCCGGGATTTCGGGGAGATCTGGGGGGAAAAACAAAAAAAAAGGG